CATATGTCCTAACAATGACGATGGCTATTGCAGGTAACAAGGAGAAAGGTTATGAGAACAAGTGACTCAACTCCATTGTATGCAAGTTAGGATGTGCAGGGGACTGCAGTAACTTTAAATACTAACATGATGCTGTGAAGGAGTATGCTATTAAGTGGGGCAAACAAATCAAATTTACTAAGAGTAACAAACAGAGGGTTAGGGCAGAGTGCAAACCTAGTTGTCCTTGGGTTTGCTATGCTTCTTTTGTGAAGGGTGAAGGGGTGTTTAGGATCAAAACTTTTGTAGATGAACACACATGCAACAGAACATTTGATCTGCCATATGTGAGTAGTAGATGGATTGTCAATAGGTATTGGGAAAGGATTAGGTTAAACCCTACCTGGCCAATTAAGTCATTGGCAGACACCATTACAACAAAGCACAATCTCAAAGTTGACTTGCAGAAAGTGAGAAGGGAAAAAATTAAGGCTCTCACAATGATTGAGGGTACTGCAACTGAACAATTTGCAATGCTTTGGGGTTATGTAGAAGAGATTAGAAGTAGTAATCCAGGAATAACAATTTCCATAAAGGTGAAAGAAGTTCCAAAAGTTCATGAAGAGGATGAGCAAATGTCCAAGTTTAAGAGATTGTATTTGTGTTGGGGTCCATTGAAAAAGAGTTTCCAAAATGCTTGTAGGCCAGTCATTGGAGTGGATGGTTGTTATTTGAAAAGGCCACATGGTGGAGTGTTGTTGATTGCAATGGGGATAGATACAAATAATTGTATATTCCCATTTGCCTATGCCATTGTTAAGAAGGAGAAGAAGAAAACATAATTGTGGTTTCTGAATTTATTAGGCAAGACTTGAATATTGTGAATTCTTATTATTGTACTTTCATGAGTGACAAATAAAAGGGCCTAATTGATGTAGTGGTTGAGCTCTTTCCAAATGCCTCACACAGGTTCTGTGTAAGGAAAATGTACAACAATTTCAAAGGTCAATTTAAGGTTAGGGTATTGAAGGATTTGCTATGGAAGGCAATCGGGGTCAGCATTGTTGGTGTATTCACCAAAGTTATGGAAGAAATGAAAGGAGTTGATAAACAAGCATACAATTGGTTGGCTAAAAGAGCACCAATTCATTGGAGTATAAGTCACTTTCACAGTTTCCCCAAGTGTGACATTTTATTGAATAATCTTTGTGAGTGTTTCAATGCATGCATATTGCAGGCTAGGGATCAACCTATGCTATCCATGTTAGAGAAGATAAGAGTTTTGTTGATGGAAACAGTTCAAAAAAGTAATGAAGTAATGAAAAGGTACAACAAAAGTGATATATGTCCTAAGATTCAGAAGATTTGGGAAAATGTAAAGATGAGTGCAGCTGGATGGATTCCTATATGGAATTGGGGTTCCCAATATGAAGTTGTTGGCCCATATGGTGAGCAATATAAGGTGGACTTGAAAGAATGGACTTGTGGATGTAGGAAATGGGATCTGTCAGGCTTTCTTTGTGTCCATGTTGTGGCTGCTGCAAACTATATGGATGAAGAACCAGAAAAGTATGTGCATCATTACTATAAAGCTGAAACCTACCTGAGGATTTATGAGAACATGTTGACTCCAATCAATGGTAGACAAATGTGGCCAATAACTCAATATGGTAAAGTGCTACCACCTGATGTGATGAAGAGAGCTGGGAGGCCAAGACTGAATAAGAGGACGGACACAGATGTCCCAATTGATGTAACTGATTCAAGTAAGCTGGGAAGGAGGGGAACTCAGATGACATGCAAGAATTGTGGCAAGTTGGGACACAACAAGAGGACATGCAAAGTCAAAGGCCAATTCACCTACCTGAAAGATCCTGTGAGTTCTAGTTAAGTAATTCATATTTTTTTATGCATTTTGTTAACGTACACATTGCTAAATTTTGTTTTTTTAGTTTTTGCAGTCCTAGCATGAAAGAAGCTAATGTCAGGCCCAGACTGAAGGGAGCCAAACTCAAAGTCAGGTAAAAGGAAGCCTGGTTGGGAGTCAGGTTACAGAAGCAACTCAAGTTAGGAAAAAGAAAATGGCCGTAAGTTTTGCAAAGGCCCTATTTGTTAATTTACAGATTTCTTCCTTGCATATGTCCTAACAATGATGATGGCTATTGTTGGTAAAAAAAAGAAAGGTTAAGAGAACAAGTGACTTAACTCCATTGCATGCAAGTCAAGATGTGCAGGGGTTTGTAGTAACTTTCAATACTAACATTCCTCTACATGCTTAAATGAGATGGAGAGGAAGAGTGGTGTACAATGCTAGTGCTGTCAAATCTATTGTGGGTCAAACCAAGAATGCAGCTGACATAAAGTAACGGACGTGAAGGACCACTGTTGTTGTTGTTGTGTGTTTTTTTTTTTTTAATGTTGGAGAAGGTTTTTGCTACTTTTGTTCATGGAATACAATGTAATGGATGTGAATCTTTTTGCTACTTTTGTTCATATTCCATAACCTTTATAGTGGTAGGGGCATTTTACACATTTGAACCCTGGTTTTTGTATTTGCTGCCCTTTTGTAGCCCGACTTTTCGTGCTCCTTTCGGAAGACAAATAGCCCTACAGTTTAGACTCCACTTGTGGTTCTGAATCTGATTTCACAAATACAATGTGAAATAATAAAAGCACAAAAGATTCCAAATCCGGTAATTCTTTTTGGAAAATCAATGTTTGAATCAAATGTCAAAAATGGACTGTTTTGCCAGGTTACAGAGTCGCCACCTAAATATTTTTGAGAAATTTAAGAAACCCGTGACTCATGCCAAAGGCCATTAGTCCGTCATCACCAAAGTGTCTCGGCTCAGGAACTTAAGTACGAAAGGGGAAGGTCATGAATTGAGCACCTCACTCACCCGATCAAAGATCGGCCTCTACTAATCATGATGTGTTTCTTATTTACATTATATGCTCGTATTTCGATTTATTAGCAATTTTTACTATGTGATGCGCACACAAGGTATAGACTAGTTTGTAAGAATTGGAACACTTGATCTCATGTTTTGTTTCGAAATTGTTTTGTGAATTTGCCACTTGAAAAAGTGGGCTAAAATTGACATTAATCAAGCCATCCCAATTCAAGCAACTAGCTTTCATCCACAGGCATTCAAACAATTATATCATTTAAGCAATTAGCTTTATGGAAGTATGCTTTGACATGGAAACAACCACACTCATGTAATATGCTAAAGCTCAAAATAGCTCACCTAGTACTTCGAGCCAAAACAAAGCAAAATAATTAGAAAATTATGCATGTTCCTAATTAATGCAGTATGACTAATGCAATGCATGCATTATGTATTTTATAGGCTCGACTATGAGCATGACATATGATTCCATTCAAGACATGTGATGAATCACGTATTCAAGTAATAAGTTTGAATATTTGAATTAACATGATAAGCCGAGCCTTGGATGCATGCAAGACAATAGATGCAAAGCATAAGAATGCTAATGAAACGTGATGCCCTATACTAACCATTGTAAGTGAGTAAGTAAAAGGGAGAAAGACGTGAGGTTGAAAGACATACAACTTATTACAATATTTGATCCTTCATGCAGGAGGGTACGAATCATTGTTAGAAAGTCCGAATTAGACTAATTATTACAAAATCGAACCAAATGAATAGATAAAGTAGGCTAAGCTAATTAACTACCTAATTAGGCTATCCATGCTATTACAACGAATAACCAAGATTATTACCCATTCATGGAATACAATGTAATGGATGTGAATCTTTTTGCTACTTTTGTTCATATTACATAACCTTCATAGTGGTAGGGGCTTTTTACACATTTGAAGCCTGGTTTTTGTATTTGCTGCCCCTTTGTAGCCCGACTTTTCATGCTCCTTTCGGAAGACAAATAGCCCTACAGTTCAAACTCCACTTGTGGTTCTGAATCTAATTTCACAAATGCAATGTGAAATAATAATAGCACAAAAGATTCCAAATCCGGTAATTCTTTTTGGAAAATCAATGTTTGAATCAAATGTCAAAAATGGACTGTTTTGCCAGATTACAGAGTCGCCACCTAAACATTTTTGGAAAATTTAAGAAACCCGTGACTCATGCCAAAGGCCATTAGTCCGTCATCACCAAAGTGTCTCGGCTCAGGAACTTAGGTACGAAAGGGGAAGGTCATGAATTGAGCACCTCACTCACCCGATCAAAGATCGGCCTCTACTAATCATGATGTGTTTCTTATTTACATTGTATGCTCGTATTTCGATTTATTAGCAATTTTTACTATGTGATGCACACACAAGGTATAGACTAGTTTGCAAGAATTGGAATACTTGATCTCATGTTTTGTTTCGAAATTGTTTTGTGAATTTGCCACTTGAAAAAGTGGGCTAAAATTGACATTAATCAAGCCATCCCAATTCAAGCAACTAGCTTTCATCCACAGGCATTCAAACAATTATATCATTTAAGCAGTTAGCTTTATGGAAGTATGCTTTGACATGGAAACAACCACACTCATGTAATATGCTAAAGCTCAAAATAGCTCACCTAGTACTCTGAGCCAAAACAAAGCAAAATAATTAGAAAAATATGCATGTTCCTAATTAATGCAGTATGACTAATACAATGCATGCATTATGTATTTTATAGGCTCGACTATGAGCATGGCATATGATTCCATTCAAGACATGTGATGAATCACGTATTCAAGTAATAAGTTTGAATATTTGAATTAACATGATAAGCCGAGCCTTGGATGCATGCAAGACAATAGATGCAAAGCATAAGAATGCTAATGAAACGTGATGCCCTATACTAACCATTGTAAGTGAGTAAGTAAAAGGGAGAAAGACGTGAGGTTGAAAGACATACAACTTATTACAATATTTGATCCCTCATGCAGGAGGGTACGAATCATTGTTAGAAAGTCCGAATTAGACTAATTATAACAAAATCAACCAAATGAATAGATAAAGTAGGCTAAGCTAATTAACTACCTAATTAGGCTATCTATGCTATTACAACGAATAACCAAGATTATTACCCAAGATAAGTAAACTAACTCCCTAAGCTAATTAATTACAATAATTATAAAGGGATAATAATAATTACAACACGTTAATGATGAGATTAATTACAATAAACAATATTAAATTAATTAATTACAATAATCAAAATATAAGCGAGGATGTGCAAGAATTGCATGCATGTACATGCATGGTGCTCAAGAACAGCTCTGTCTACCCTAAGCTTGCCCTGTTTCACCTCAACCATTTCCCTCTGTTTTCTGCAAAAATACACTACTGACCAAACTTTGAGGGCCGATTGGCCCTCAATGAAGCTCGGCTAGGCATAAAGAAGGCCGGTCGTGCCTCAGTTTTACACAAAACTCTATTCTGTGTTTTGAAGTGAAAACAGGGTAGATATAGTTGTTCAAGCTCTGTTTGTCATTTTCTTCCTTCTCTATCATGAGAAAGCCTCGAGAGAAGGTTGAAATTGATTCCAAAGCCATCAATGAGAAAATTGATTGCTTGTTGTTCTCAGATACAATTTTGGACAAAAATTAATGAAATGCAATGAATATGACCACCCCTCCCTCTTATCATGGAATGGAATCAAAGAGGGTGGTAGAGACGCTTCAAGAATGATCAAAATGCCATGAATTAGTGCATAATCACTCTTGACTCGATAAACTTGGCATAACGTCCGACCAAGTCTAAGCAATTTATGCCATTTTCTTTATGTGCGTTGATCCAATTTTAAACCAATTTGTTTAGTCATTTCTATTCGTTAGTCCATTTGTCCATGGTGATGTTAAAGTCCACTAAACAAGAAGTAACGTCAAACGAGAGGTTCTTCTAAAACATGAGAGAGAGAGAGAGACTATATCGTTGACGATGAATCTTCGAAAAGATTAAGCCATTAAGTAAAAGTCTCTATTACATGTTTTGAGCAACCTCAATCGGTTGAAATCATTCTCAAAAATGAAAGAGATAGATGTTTAGATGATTTGTTAGAGTGAGACTCTTAATTTGAAAAGTAAGTAAAGGAAAGCTTGGAACAACATGTAACAAGTTATGTATGCCAATTCATGAGACAACGAAGGAACTAACCAAAGCATGAATTATTTAAATAATTTAGAATAGCCCTAAAACAGCCCTAAACATATGAAAAATAGTGGCTAAAAATGCATGAAAAAAGCCTAAAAAGCTAAACAACAAAGAGAAGAATCAAGCCTATTAAACAAGAACAAAGAGGGGTGGTTAACCCCCCCCACTTTTGAAACCTCAAAGCATGATTTTTAGCCCTTTTTTAACTCTGAAAATCAGTGTAGAGAATAAAGAAAAAAAGTGAAAAAGTAAAGGCTTGAGCTATAGGTAAAGATGTAGAAAGAGCAAACTCTCTCTACTCTTCTGATAGCTCTCTAAACCCAAACTTAAACACTTAAACTAGGATCAAAATAACACAAAATGATAAGAACTAGGTAGCAACTGAAAGAAATGAAAGTAATAGAGAAGATAGCTAACTAATACGTCTCAAGGGAATAAGCTTTTTGTTTGTGATCAAACTAAGCTCCAACACATTTTCAAGCTTGAATTATGGTGTTCAAAGCTCAACCAAGGTTACTAGACTAAGGTATGAAGGTGTGTATAGTGTATGGATATGAGTTCAAGGTGGTAGATTAACTCAAAGTGTTGCTTGCACAAGGAGAAGGAGAAAAAGAAGCTCTCAAGGTGATAAAATGGCTTTCTTGAAATTCTTCAACCCTTAAAAACAGAGGTATATGGTCGTTTTTATAGAATTTGAGCCAGAAATATCAAAAATATCTTCAAAAATGGACAGCAAACGGCCTCCCACCTAGAATAGTGTTTTTCACCAC